GCACCAGTCCCCTTGGAGCCGGAGGAGGCTGATCCTCTTCGTCTTTCGGCTCCATGTGACCCATGATCCCGAGACGACGATTAACTTCTGCGATCTCGTCCTGTGTCATCGGGATCAGTGGCGGATGGACGCCCTCCTTATGAGGGGTTTTGCCCCTGTTTGGGCTCAGACCTTCATTATTTCCTACGGGGCATCCCGGCCTGTGGTTCTGGAACGGCTCGGAACAAGGTCCGCAAGCTGCTTGAGGCCTATACAACTTGCGAGCCGCGATAACGTTTCGCAACTGCGCCCGCACTTCTTCAATTTCAGGGCGGCGGATGTTTGTTGCAAGTTGATAGCCTCCGCGGATGGCCTTACCCTGAGCGTCCCTATAGGCAGGGTTGCCCTTGCCGAAGGCCGAGTGTTCCCCTTTACGGCGTCTTGGATCATTGTACGGCAGTAGTTCGCCTCCTCGCCTGAGGGCGCGTTCCTTTGGGCCAGCCTGCCTATACTCACGAGGAAGCCGAGCCTGTGCATGTGGCTCTCCTCTGACGCGCGGATGGGAACGAGACCTTCCAGCATTCTCATCAGAAGAGGCTGCCGAAGCAGCCTGAGTAGAAGCCGGCGGAGGCGCCGGCGGAGGCTCCTGTGCGATCCCAAGTGGATCGGCGAGTAAAGGCGGGTTTCCCTGCTGGCTGGAGCCTGGCGCAAATGGCGCTTGTGCCGATGGTGATGGTGCATCAGGCTCGTCAGGATCAAAGTCCACCTCTACCTCACCGGTGACCTCCATCATGAGGATTGTGGCTTCATCCTCGCATAGCCCGCAACCATCGCCCTCTTCTTCTTCTGATGTAGAACTGCCAACGATGATGGCCATTAGCGCAGCCGGGACAGGCAGGTCTCCCTGCATAGCCGGCGTCTGCGCGTCGCTCGGCTGTCCCGGAGTAGGCGGCACGGTTGTCGGCTCAGGCTCGTTGCCGAGCACAGGCTGCCCAGCAATGTTGCGCATGGCAGTATGATTTGGCCATAGTCCTGCCGCCTGGAGACCCCATCCTGGCGGAGGAAGAGCCTGGCCGCGCATGGCGATGGCCCTTTCAAGGGCCTCGCGCCATCGCCCTCTGGAGTACCACACATGTCTCTGCACGTCCTCAGGATGCACACTGTCAATAAGGGTCAAAGCTGCCAACACTACCTCCGAGTCGTCGCAGGCGTCGGTGTCCTGCAGCATCATGATGCCAGCTTCGATGCTTTCTTGACTCTCGGGATATGCGATGGTCAGTACCTCGTGCATCCTCATGAGGGTTTGCAGTAGTGTGCGCGGTCCGTACTCGCCTGGGGCAGGCGAACCAGGGGGCACAAATGGTTCCCCGGGTACGCCTGCAATGAAAGCTTGAACGAACGCTTGAGACTCCATTTCTAGGAGTTCATCATTATTTCGGGGATAGATAGGCCTGTATCCAGGCGGGAGTTCGGGTGGAGGTTGGAGGTTGCGCTCAACCTCTGAAGGCGAGGCCTCAACAGTGATGTCCTCGTCACTGCTTTCGTAGGCCATGATGTTGCCTGGGTTCCCGAACATCCAGTCGAAGAAAGACAAAGGCTGGTTTCCCAGCGTTCCGTGATCCACGGGAGTGAGCTCGTTGTTGCCAACAACGAACCTGCGGACGTACTCGAGGTAGTACGCGTACAATCCATGACCATACGCCTCGAGCTCGTCGACGTTGTCCATGCAACTGACCCAAGTGTAAAATATCTGTTCCATGGCCTCAGAATCCTGGAGGCTCAGATACTCGATGAATGGTTCACTTGAGCCAAAATGGATTTCGGTCGATCTGCCCTTTCCATTCCCCTTCGCTGGACAATCTCTCACAAGATGGTCGGTACTATCACACTCATGGCACTTTAGAACCTGGCCGTCTCTACCTCGCGGGTGTCCCCGCCTACCTTTGCCTTTTCCTGAGGTCTCTCTACGGCCTTTGCCACGGCCCTTTCCCCCGAAGAATATCTCATCATACTGTTCATCTGAGAGCCTCTGGAGGAATGCCGCGATGCCTCGTCCGTTCAACCTCTGACGACCCCGCTTGCCTTTCCCTTTTCCTTTGAAACTCATCCGTATCCTCCTCCTAACACGTCGCACTGGTTTTCGTGCGAACCTCCTCCACCTCCGTTTAGCCTGTTGTAATAACCAAAATAAGTGTTCAGCACGCTGATTGTCAGTTTCCATATTCATAATATCTGACCAATCTAAAGCTTCAACACCGTCGGATGATGCAGTATCAGTGTCGGTGCCGGCGTCGAAATCATCGTCTCCCAAGTAGGTGGACACACCGTCGGTAAGGGGGTTTGATTCACCCGACAGAGAACGGTGTAGTTGAGGCTCTCTGGAAGGAGGGCTGGTTGCCCAGCTTGGTTGCGGTCGATCCCCTGCTAATAAAGCAGTAGATTATCCAGGATCATCGGCCCATATGCTTGAGGGCCCGTTTCCAGGCTGGGCTTCAGTGGTTAAGGTAGTGTAAAAATTTCCACTACCAGATCCCCTTCCCCTTCCAAACACAGATCCTATATTACCAGGAGACCGTTCTGATAGGTGGCCTATCGAACGCATCCTCTCCAGCAACTCATCATACTGTTGTTGAGTTCGGGGCATTTGATGATTGAGTGGCTGCATGGCTCGCTGGTTGCCGACGCCTAAGGCGCGGAACAGGATCGTGGTTAGTAACTGGAAGTTGGGAAGGTCGAATCCCACCGACTGTGCCTCAAGTCGGGCCATTTCGAATCGGGTTAGAGTGACGTCGATTCGTTCTCCGTGAGGCACATGGAAGTCGATGAGCTGTGTGCCGGAAGTGAGCTGGCGCTCATCTTCCAGGCGCTCGACCTTCATGCTTAGGAGGAACATGATGTAGGTCACTGGGTCTGTGTGGACCCCATGGATGTCAGCACCATAGTTTATAATGTCAGGTGGTACCCTCATGGCGAGTGTCCTCGCTAGGCCACCTAGGCCGCGTTGTATGGCGGCCGCTTGGGCCTGTGGCGTCATACGTCCGCTAGTGACGTTGAGCCACGCGTTGACCTCATAAACGTACTCACGGAAAGGCACGTTGCCTTGAGGGTCCCAGTATGGGCCATGTGTTTGCCCATCGGTGCTGTTTTCTCCGCGGCGCATGTGTCCGATTGCTGCCCCCAGCGCGAACCATATGATAGCGAAGATAACCAGCCCAAGGCTATGTAGGTAGGGGTGGTTATTAGGCGCGTTGCCGCGCTGGGGTAGCGCCTTGTCGAGTCGCCGAGGCGCTCTATCTGGCGGATCTCTCCGCCCATGCTTCAAGTATTGCGTTTTTGGCTCGTTGCCGAGCGGTTGGTAGTAGCGCAGTGATGAAGCGTATATGGCACCAATGTTGTTGTCTAGACGTCGTACCTCTCGTGTTGCTTCTTGCTCTTGGATAGTCCTCGTAAACGTACTGGGAGTGATAGCGCAGGGTGGTAGGTGGTCACGAGGATCGTGCCGAAGAGTCTGAGGATGAGAAGAGCAAGAGCTGACCACACGAGAGTGCGGCCAGCTCCGCTACCAAGTCGAAAGTGAGCCTGGTAGGTCAAATAGCATCCGTCTCCATGGGAGGCGGATGAGCTCACATTGCATCCAATTCCATGTCGAAGGCATACGATATGGGGAGTGGATGGGTATGATAGGATAAGATCGATGTATCGGTCTTTCCAGCAAATAGCGAACACTAAGGTAAGTGTCCGGGCAAATAGGGCGCGCGTGCCTTGAGCCAAAGGCAACGGCGCGCGAGCTATACTCCCGATACTATAACATTTCCCAAAGAGCTACCCTTAAAGTCCCTCGGCCCCTCGTCGGCGATGAAATGGGCGCCAGGCGGTCGACGCATCCCCCCATGGGCCCTTCCCCTGCGACGCTGCCCGCGGAGGAAGAGGGCGAAACCACCCACCGGTGCGAAAAAAAAAACGCGACGCCAGGATCTCCAGGCCCAGACACTAGGGGGCCACACGCGAACCCCACCCTCCCCCTCAGAAGTCGTGGGGGGTAGGGGTAGGGTTCGCATGTGGCCCCCCAGACATGCGATGTCTCCGGTTTTTCAACACGGGGTCCCCGAAGTCTCGGGGAGACGCAGGACTCGGGCTCGGTGGTCTCGGGTTGGCCTCTGACGGGGCCATCATGAAAATGACGAGACCCAGTCTGAGATCCGACGCGGGCTCCCACTGCAGGCATCCTACGATGACCGGACCGCCAAGATCCAGGACACGCTCGTCAAAAAAAGCGCCAGCCAACCCAAGCTCCGGCGTACTCGAGTCCTACGTTTCCCCGAAAGTCCCGACCCGTTCCCCGGGACCGATTCTTCATCCCGAACCGTTTCTCGACGGTCCTGGGGCCCCGCGAGGGCGGCAAAGAAGCGCGACGCCAGGATCTCCAGGCCCAGACATGCAATGTCCCTGGTTTTTCAAGAGGGGGGCCCCACAAATCCCGACCCCTTCCCCAGGACCGATTCATCCCGGACCGTTTCTCGACGGTCCTGTGTGGCCCCGCGAAGAGTCCCCCCGAGGCCGCGAACACGGCCCAAAACCTCTGGGCTGTTAATCAGCCTCGAACTTATCCCTATCCCTAGGATGGGCGAGCAAAAAGCGAGGACAGTCTTAGGGGTGTGCCCTCAGGGAAATCCTCAAGATCGGCATCGAGGCGACGCGATGTCAAACACAGGGGTAGGGATTTGTCTCAAACTGGTGAGCTGTTCTCGGCTACACGCAAGAGTGACCCTGGGCAAGAGTGACCTTTGGTGCGCGGCTTAGCGGGGGCCGCCGCGGGGCCAAACACAGGCGCGCAAGCCGCCGCCAACGTCTCGCACTCGGCGAATTTCGGCGACTGGGGGGCCGCATTGGGCTCGCACCAAAGGTTACTCCGGCCAAGGCAAGGGTCACTCTTACGTGTAGCCGATGCTCTTGCTCCACGACGCGAGCAAGTCCTCGGGGGGGAAGCCCGGCCCCCTCCCCCCGCAGCCCGCCAAGGCGTCCTCGCGCAGCCGCTCGCGTACGGGGAAGCGTGGAGGCCCTGCGGGCCGAACGCGAGTTCCCCGGCCTCCTGCGGAAGGAGGAGGCACGGCGGACGAGGAGGAGGAGGAGGAGGAGGAGGAGGAAAAGGAGGAGGAGGAAAAGGAGGAGGAGGAGGGAGGAGGAAAAGGAGGAGGAGGAGGAGGAGGAGGAGAAGGAGGAGGAGGAGGAAGAAGAAGAAGAAGAAGCAGAAGAGCGGAGGAGGAGGGAGGAGGAGGAGGAGGAGGAGGAGGAGGCCGGCGGAGGAGGAGGAGGAGGAGGAGGAGGAGGAAAAGGAGGAGGAGGAGGAGGAGGAGGAGGAGGAGCGCCCGCGCGCAGCGCAGTCGCGGCTCGCCTCGCCGACGACGACGGGTGCAAGGCTCTTTGAGGCGTCTGCGTCGGCTCTCGTCGGCCTTCCAAGCTCGGGGCGCGCCCTCCAGCGGCTGCGCCTCTCCGGGCGCGGTTCCGGGGGTGACCGGATCGTCCTGGACGGCCGCCCTGGAGCCGAGATGCGGGAGCCGGGGGCAACGCTACGGGTGGATACTCCAGATTTCGTAATAAAAGGGAGGGGGTCTCAACCCTCCCAGACGAAAAGTTTTAGACCCCCCCCCTTGGGAGAACCCTCCAAAACATCGTCCCCAGACCCCCCCAGGCCCTCCAAGATAGCCTGGATGAGACCCCCCCCGAAATGAGACCCCCCTCCCTTTATTACGAAATCTGGAGTAGGCTTAGGACGGGCGTTTGGGGGTCGCTCCCCCCCCCCGCCTCCTGAAAAGGAGCCCCGGGGGCAGAAACAGATGGGCACAAATTCCAGGATGTCCCATGTCTTTCCACGTTTCCCAGGTGCTCCAAGTCCCCTCCATTTCCAAAATGTTCTCATACTTTCGTGAAAACCAATATTTGTCGTGTTTGTGTCGATGCTTCCCTCCTGAGCAGAAGCATAAACCTGCGGAGGTCCGCGCGGATTTCTCCGATCGGCGCTGGACCCCCCTCCCTGGCCCGCGGAGCGCGCTGATGGCGGCGCCGGAGACACCGCCAGGGGGTTCCAGTGCCGACCCGAAAAATCATCGCGGACCTCCGAAAGTTCCCTTTCATGTCATTGTTCGTTCGCCGATTCGCGTCATGGGAGATGTCTTTACCAACTCCAGATTTCGTAATACAAGGGAGGGGGTCTGGACCCTCCAAGACAAGCCATTTCAGACCTCCCCCGTGGGAGAACCCTCCAAAACATCGTCCTCAGACCCCCCAGGCCCTCCAAGATAGCCTGGAAGAGACCCCCCCCCCGAAATGAGACCCCCCTCCCTTTATTACGAAATCTGGAGTACTTTCGCTCGGCCTCGTCGGGTCCTCGCCGGGCCCAAAGACCGACAGAGAACGCCCGTGGATGGACAACCGGTCCCGGGGAAGGAGTCTTCCGCCGCGGATCGCCCGCAGCGTCGCAGCTGCATCGCGCCGAGGCCCTCTTGCAGGAGGAGGAGGAGGAGGAGGAGGAGGAGGAGGAGGAAGGGGGAGGAGGAGGAGGAGGAGGAGGGAGGAGGAGGAGGGGGGAGGAGGAGCCCCCCCCCCTGACCACCCCAACCCAACCCGAAGACCCGAATTTCGGGTTGAGGGGGTAAGGGTTCCACGCGTGTCCTTTCGATGTCTCCCGACCCCCGCCCCCCCCCCACTGGAGATCGACTGTAAATTTGAGCCTTCGGGTTGGGTTGGGGGGGTTTGGTGGGTGGTGACTCTTGCAGGAGGGGCGCCGCCCCTGGGGAGATGCGCACGTCGGCTCGGCACGCGCTGTCGAATCGACCGCATCGTGGACAGCCCTGCCCCACGCCGGCAGGTTCACGTGGCCCCTTGGAGGCCGATCGGCGCATAACACCACCGCATCGACGGTCGTGCCGAGCTCTACGGTCGGGAAAATGCTTGTTCAGCGCGTCGCGGCGGCCCCAGCGACACGGCATGCCCTGCAAGCGGCTGTCGTGTCGCTCTGCTCCGCGGAGCGAGGGGTCGGAAAAAGCTCGGGACGCTGACGCCTCGGGACAGTGACGTGGATAGCGTGCCGCTCCAAAGCGCGGTGGGCCACAACTGGCGGCGCGACACGGCAAACCAAAGCTCATGACGATAAGCGTTGCAAAGGAGTCCCGACTTCCGAGAACCTCCGACACAGCTCCCGAAAGACTCCGACCCCCCCCCCTCAACTCGTCCTCGCTCTCCCCTTCCTCCTCCTCCTCCTCCTCCTCCTCCTCCCCCTCCTCCCCCTCCTCCTCCTCCTCCTCCTCCTTCTCCTCCTCCTCCTCCTCCTCCTCCTCCTCCTCCTCCTGCTCCTCCTCCTGCTCCGTCTACTGGAGACCCGGGGACGCAAAAGACTACAAAAAGACTCGATCCTCCGTCCTCCTACTCCTCCTCCTCCTCCTCCTCCTCCTCCTCCTCCTCCTCCTCCTCCTCCTCCTCCTCCTCCTCCTCCTCTCCTCGTCATCATCCTCATCCTCATCCTCATCCTCATCATCCTCATCCTCATCCTCATCCTCTCCTCCTCCTCCTCCCTCCTCCTCCTCCTCCTCCTCCTCCTGCTCCTCCTCCTGCTCCGTCTACTGGAGACTCGGGGAAGCAAAAAACTACAAAAAGACTCGATCCTCCGTCCTCCTACTCCTCCTCCTCCTACTCCCTCCTCCTCCTCCTCCTCCTCCTCCTCCTCCTCCTCCTCCTCCTCCTCCTCCTCCCTCCTCCTCCTCCTCCTCCTCCTCCTCCTTCCTCCTCCTCCTCCTCCTCCTCTCCTCCTCCTCCTCCTCTTCCTATCCTCCTCCCCTCCTTCTCCTTGATCCTCCTCCTCTCCCTCCTCCTCCTCCTCCTTCTCCTCCTTCTCCTTCTCTCCCTCCTCCTCCTCCTCCTCCTCCTCCTCCTCCTCCAGATCGATCTTCTCCTCCTCCTACTCCTCCTCCTCCTCCTCCTCGATCCTCCTCCTCCTCATCCTCCTCCTCCTCCTCATCCTGCTCCGTCATCTGGAGACCCGAGGAAGCAAAAAAATACAAAAAGACTCGATCCTCCGTCCTCCTACTACTCCTTCTCCTCCTCATCCTCAACCTCCTCATCCTCCTCCTCGATCCTCCTCCCCTCCTCCTTCTCCTTGATCCTCCTCCGCCTCCTCCTCCTTCTCCTCCTCATCATCATCCTCCTCACGTTCGATCTTCCTCCTCCTCCTCCCCCATCCCTTTTCCATCTAAATAACTCATCCCTGTCGCAACCAAGACTTGTCGGCAAGGCGGACCGGGCGATTCGCCTGAGACGTCTCACCATGCATGATCCTGAAGCTCGCAATTTGCAACAAAAAAAGGATGGACGCGGGTCCTTTTCAACATGTTGCTCTCGCCTTAGCGCAGCGCGCATTCGTCTTAAAAGTTTGCAACAACTCTAAGGGTGGCGGACAGATGTTGTTCAAAATGATGCTCTCGCCTCAGCACCGCGCACACTCATCTGAGAAACGTGCAACAGTTTCACAGATGGAGGGCGGGTCCTTTACAGAATGTGATTCTCACTTTAGCGCCGTGCTCATTAATCTTCCGAGTTCGCGACATATTCAAGGATTCGTATGGTTGAAAACACACACACACACATGGCATTCTAGCAAGATTTCGGGTCGTCAAGACGCAATCGTCACGTTGATCCACGGTGTTGAAATCCTAAGAGTTCTGTCCTGGCACGATTGAGGGTCAGGACGCAACAACCACGTTGACATGCGGCGTCGAAGTCACCGCAATGGTGTTTTGGCACAGTCAAAGCTTCTCACACGGTTGTCCATTAATGGGCCATTTCCCGCAATGACATGGGATTCTTGTAGAGGCCTATAAAGAGGGAGCTTGGAGGGAGGATCTCTTGCAATATCGTTGCTGCGTCTTGGTTCTACACTGGTCCTCCTCCTCCTCCTCCTCCTCCTCGATCTTCGGCCCCTCCTCCTTTTCCTCGATCCTACTCTTCCTTCTCCACCTCCTCCTCCTCCTCCTCCTCCTCCTCCTCCTCCTCCTCCTCCTCCTCCTCCTCCTCCTCCTCCTCCTCCTCCTCCTCCTCCTCCTATCCTTATTCCTTATTAGAATATACTCCTACTCCCCCCTCAGGCCGGCAGATAGCGGGCGCATCCGGGTGGTCCCATCCTAACCTGTAAAAAACAATACAAAATCAACATTTTTCTTATTTTTTCCTCTCGACATGGACGTCCTGTCGTCCACGGCGATAATCCATTGCAAAAAATACCACAAAGAGCACACGCGCGCGTTCATGTCAGAATCCTACCGAACACCGTGTGTTTGCAAGCATTTCAACATAAAAACATCAAAAACCCAATGCTTTTTCACAAAAATTGTACAAATTTCCCGCCCGGGCTCTCTTGCTGAAATCATAGGAAAACCATAGGAATCTTAAGAATTCTGTCAAATCCAGCGATTTCACGTCATCGCGCGGTGCACTCGCGATGCTCTGTCATGCACCCAGGCCGCGAATCCTGTGCAAAAAATACTACAAAGAGCACACTCGCGCGTTCATGTCAGAATCCTACCGAATACCGTGTTTTTGCAAGCATTTCAACATAAAAACATCAAAAACCCAATGCTTTTTCACAAAAATGCTTTGGGGTGTCCTGTCAGACCGTCGGGCTTCCTCCGGCCACCTCTGGCTTCCTGCGGTGTACCGGGCCATTCTCGACTCGTCTGGCAATACGTGCGCGGCATTCAACACGCGCTCGCCAGTTCCCGTCGGCAACCGCCATCGCGGCCGCATCAGCTGTACCAAACCGGCTGGCCGGTGTGACTTCGGCCCCCAGTTGTGCCAGCTTTGCTTCTTATGTTGTGGGAGGGCGGGTGGGACTGGGCATGCCATGCTTGACTCGCTCGAGCTGGCTAGCTTGACTCCTACTCCTACTCCTACTCCTACTCCTCCTCGCCCCCCCCTGATCATCCTATTCCTCCTCGTCCCCCCGCGCGCGCTGCGTGCTCCTCCACGTTCAGGT